CGGTTCTGAAACATAGATTATGGCGTTAACTTTGGTTTATAGATGTAAAATATAGATTAACATCTGACTAAAATTGATAGGCCTAAATGTATTTTTCTCTTGCATAATCTGTGCCTGATTCTCGCTTCTCTCAAAAGAAATAATTTGTGGTCTGGATGTTGCCTCTAGCTGTGGATTCTAGAATACAATAAATTCTTAAAACCAAAAAAAAAAAAAAAAAAAATTCAATAATTCTCAAGTTTCAAGTTTTTATTTAAGACAAAGACCCCAACTGGGGTATAACGTATGAATACAAATAATACATTTTTTTTTTTTTACATATAAACAAGAATGCATGAAAAAAATGAGTGGTACGAATGTTATTTATATGACACTGTACAATTCAGATGTATAGTTCAAATAATAAAGTACAGAAGGCCCCTGCTTATGAAAATAAAACTATTCTGGTAGATAGCATACCCAATCACTAGGAGTTATGGCCCCTGAAAGCGTAGTAATTTAAACATGTTGAAATGTTAAAATATCGGTAAAAATAATATAAAATAATACAAAAAATATCGCCGACATAGGGATTACTAATCTGAGTTCAAATGAATTTTTTTTAACAATTTTTCAATCTTTGTTTAGTATTACCTTCAACATTTTATAAACATATTTTATTGGCACTTTATTTTCCGGCAAAGTACCTATAAATGGTGGATTGGAAGACCAAAGCAAAGTTGGACAGTGAACAAAATTTAAACTAGTGCTAATTGTAACGGGGACCGTTACAGATGTTCCCCAAACTCTCCCCACCTCCCTTTTGGTGCCATATTCCCTGTAATCTCTATTAAATAAGAAATACTTTATGGAATTTAAACTTAATGAAAGTCTTCCAGAAAAATACAAAATATATTTAAAAATAGGCATTGCACCCGTGTTCATTTGCGTAACGACCATATTATCTTGTCTACACTATCTAAAATTTTAATATACTTAATATCAAAGCATTTAATCCATAAGTATTAAAAAATACACTCATTCGAATGTATTTTTAATTTTACTCATTTCGCGTGCACGCACGTGCAAGCACGTGCATAATGACTACACCTTCTTTTAGGAGTCCCTTATATTTATCTATGTTCTAAATCCCATCCTGTTTCGTTGAAAAACAAAGGAGTTATAGCCATTTGAATTTTCAGCCAGTCAGATTGCAGCACACATACATGCGTGTGATTTCATAATTTTTTATCTTTATCGTATTGAAGGGTATCTAAATGAATGACTATATTTTAAAATTCCAAACATTTCGTCAAAAAACAAAGGAGATATAGCCATATAAAGTTTCAGCCAATCAGATTGCAGCACAAGTGCATGCGCGTGATTTCATGATTTTTTCCTATATCATATTTTAGGATATCCCAATGCATGACTATGTTTCAAATTTCAATGCATTTCGTCAAAAAACAAAGAAGATATAGCCATTTAAAGTTTCAGCCAATCAGATTGCAGTACGCGTGCATGCGCATGCTTTCATGGAAATTTTTATATATCATGCTGTAGATCTTCATAATGTAGGACTATGTTCAAAATTTCAAAAGATTATGACAAGAAACAAGAAAGATATTGAGATTTTAGTTTCAGCCAATCAGAGCGAAGCGCACGTGCATGCGCGTGAGATCTTGCTATTTTGACCATGCCATCTTGTCTATACTACTAATGTATCCTTATATTATGAGTTTCAAAAAAATTCTTCCAAAAAAAGAAAAGTTACAGTAATATCCAATATATTGGTCATTTCTCGTGTTGCACGTGCGCGCTCTTGCAAGCACGTGCGCGCAAAATGACCTTCGTTCGGCAAATCTACATAACATGTCTACTGACCCTAAAAACATTTTACCTTAGTCGGATGTATAGTTTACAAGATCACTCGAGGACAAAATTTTCCCAGGAATAATAATAATAATAATAATAACTAGGGCTAATTGTAACGGGAACCGTTACAGATGTTCCCCAAACGCTCCCCAACTTCCTTTTGGTGCCTTATTCCCTGTAAGCTTCATTAAATAAGACAAACGCGATACATTTAAGACTTTAACAAAGTTTTACCAGAAGTATTCAATTTCAGCATTGCACGCATGCGCATTTGAATGCATGTGCGTAATGACCATATCATCTTGTCTACACTATTGATATATTTTAATATACTAAATATTACAACATTTAATCCAAAAATATCTTTAATCTAGTGTATTTAGAATTTTACACATTTCACGTGCACGCACGTGCATGCCTGTGCATGATTACCATTCCATGTTGTAGAAGTCTATAATATCTATCTATGTTCTGAATCCCATGCTGTTTGGTTGAAAACCAAGGGAGTTATAGCCATTTAAAGTTTCAGCCAATCAGATTGCAGCGCACGTGCATGTGCGTGATTTGATGAAAATTAATATATATGACATTGTAGGATATCCTAAAGCATGCCTATGTTTTAAATTTCAAAGCATTTCGTCAAAAAACAAAAAAGATATTGAGATTTTTGTTTCAGCCAATCAGAGCGAAGCGCACGTTCATGCACGTGCAAGCATGTTCATGATGACCATACCTTCTTCTAGGAGTCCTTTATGTTTGTCTATGTTCTAAATCCCATGCTGTTTGGTTGAAAAACAAGGGAGTTATAGCCATTTAAAGTTTAAGCCAATCAGATTGCAGCGCACGTGCATGCGCGTGCTTACATGAAAATTCTTATATACCATATTGTAGGAGATCTTAAAGCATGCCTAAGTTTTAAATTTCAAAGCATTTCGTCAAAAAACAGAGAAGATATTGAGATTTTTGTTTCAGCCAATCAGAGCAAAGCACACGTGCATGCGCGTGAGTTCGTGCTAATTTGACAGTGTCACATTATCTACACTTTCAATATATCTTTATATAATGAGTTTCAAATCATTTCAGTAAAAAATGTAAAAGTTATAGCTATATTAAGTATATTAGTCATTTCACTCATATCACGCGCACGCACGTGCATGCGTATGCGCGCAAAATGACCTTCGTTCCGCACACCTACACTACACACCTATTAACCCTAAAAAGGTTTTAGCTCAGTTGGGTGAACAGTTTCTAAGAACACTCGCGGACAAAAAAGTCCGGAGAAGAAATAAGAAGAAAAAAGAATAATAACTAGTGCTAATTGTAACGGGGACCGTTACAGATGTTCCCCAAACGCTCCCCAACTCTCTTTTTGTGCCATATTACCTGTAAGCTTCATTAAATAAGACAAACTCTATGTATTTGAGACTTTAACAACATTTACCCGGAAGTTTATTCAAGTTTTATCATTGCATGCTTGCACATGCGAATGCCTGTGCGTGATGATCATATCATTTTGTCTACACAATCCATATATTTTAATATACTAAAAATTAAAGTATTTAATCCAAAAGTAATAAAAAATACGCTCATTCAAGTGTATTTTTGATTTTGTTCATTTCACGTGCACGCACGTGCATACATGAGCACGGTGACCATACCTTCTTGTAGAAGTCCATTACATCTATCTTTGTTCTAAATCCCACCCCATATGGTTGAAAACCAAGGGCGTTATACCTGTTAAAAGTTACAGCCAATCAGATTGCAGCGCACGTACACGCACGTGTATGCATGTGCATGATGACCATACCTTTCTTTTAGTAATCCATTATATCTATCTATGTTCCAAATCCCATCCTGTTTGGTTTGAAACCAAGGGAGTTATAGCTGTTTAAAGTTTCAGCCAATCAGATTGCAGCGCACGTACATGCACGTGTATGCATGTGCATGGCGACCATACTTTCTTGTAGAAGTCCATTTTATATATCTATGTTTCAAATCCCATCCTCTTTGGTTGAAAACCAAATGAGTTATAGCTATTTAAAGTTTAAGCCAATCAGATTGCAGCGCACGTGCATGCACGTGTTTTCATGATAATTGCAATATATCATATTGTAGGACATCCTAATGCATGGCTATGTTCAAGATTTCAAAGCATTTCGTCAAAAAACAAAAAAGATATTGAGATTTTTGTTTCAGCCAATCAGAACGAAGCGCACGTGCATGCGCGTGAGATCTTGCTATTTTGATCATGTCATATTGTCTATGCTACTAATGTATCCTTATATTATGAGTTCTAAAGCATTTTATCAAAAATTTAAAAAGTTACATCTATATCAATTAAATCGGTCATTTATCATGTTGCACGTGCGCGCTCTTGCAAGCACGTGCGCACAAAATGACCTTCGTTCCGCAAATCTACATTACATGTCTACTGACCCTAAAAACATTTCACCTTAGTCTGATGTGTAGTTTACAAGATCACTCGCGGACAAAATTTTCCCAGGAAGAAAAATAATAAGAATAATAATAATAAGAAACAGAGTAAAAACAATATGTTCCCAAACTCCGTTTGGGGAACATAATAAGAAACAGAGTAAAAACAATATGTTCCCCAACTTCGTTTGGGGAACATAATAATAAGAAACAGAGTAAAAACAATATGTTCCCCAACTTCGTTTGGGGAACATAATAATTTTATTTGTGCATTATTTGGTGAGCAGTAGCATAAAAAAGTATATGCTTTCGTTCATGACATTGCCAATATTGGAAAACTAAAATGCCGGTAATTAATTCTACACCTACTTTGAATATTTTTTCAATTACTGGTAATGTAAGATTTTCAAATGGATTATGTCTATTTTGTGTGTAAACACCACATTTTTACACATGCATAAGGTACATGTACATCGATGATTGCAAAGTTTTGTTCCATCAAATGTTCAGAGAAAATCGAAAGTTCGTTTCTCTGTCCGCTAACGAAGTTACATAATAAGATTGGTAATGCAATGATAAAATAACCCCAAGCACATCAAGCTCTCTCCTACTTCTGGCAATGCTTTTCTTTTCATAAAGCGCGTTTTCCGGATATATATTATCTGTGCCGTCTCCGGGCCCAACATGACGAATTTTATCGACTAAGCATTCAATGGACGATATTGACAGCAGTGCGCCGGTGATATTTTGAAGAGGCATTAACGCCATTAATATTATAATATTTTACTTAATTAACATCAGAAGCTGTGTGGATGTGCATGAGTGTTTGATCGCATACTTGTGCCATCGCCACGCAAAACTACCTCAGCAAACATTGCACAAACTGCCAGGGTTTTACTCACTCAGTCACTGCGGGCAATATTAGGATCGTTTAGTCTGTTTTATGCTGCTCCCGGATTATTTATTATAAGCAATTTAGCTGTGCTTTTATGACACCGGTTTATTTAGCCAATCATTAAAATGAGTAGTCGTACTCCAGTCAAAAAAGTGCCCATTCATCTGCAGGTAAGGTTGCATTGTTTAGTATTGTGGGAGGGATACTAGTGCAAGTGATTTGTAAAATTTGTTATGTATGGATTATAAATTATAATGTATTATGTTCATATTGGTCTACACTGATGGATCTGATTTTGTGGCGTTTTTAAATGTTTGGTATACTCAAATTTGTATTAGTGTTTGCTCCTCTGAGTGGCAGTGTGCAACTTAGTTGTAATTGCATCATATGTGCTTTATATGAAAGAGAAAAAAAAGCACTTCTAAGTTCAGAAAAATTCAAGATGACTAAACTTATTCTATTTGGTCTCCACCCAAAACCTGTTTCAATACAAAATAAACATATAACAGTATTTCACATCTCCAGTACACTGTTGTGTGTGAATTTTTAAGTGCCAAAATTTCTTTATCTGAAGCTTAAAATTCACTTCCATCTTTCTAATCGGGTTTCATTCTGTATCACTAGGTGACATCTGGTTTCAGTACAACAGATGGAAGGGTTATAGTTGTATATCTTTCTTAATTACAAATCTGTCAGAACTGAAAGAAAGTTCTGCTTTGTAAAGTGAAGTTACAAGATCTGCAAACAGTTGCCTAGAATTTCAGAATGTAAATGAAATGTAAGATGCATCCAAACACTTGCAACACAGTTACTGCAGATGCAACATGCCAAAATGATAAAGAAATTCCATGCATTGTTCCAGAACCCATTTCGACAATAATATGGTTTTACTTGCTTCAATTACAAGTATCAGAAATAGATCATGGTATGTACATATGTGTTGCCAATTTGTCTTATTGTGACAGTGAAAAAAAGAATGGAATGCTTTGTGACATTTTTATGCATACCAGTGTAGTGTGCATTGTTATTGTACCACATGTTTGTGCAAGAGCAAGTGGCTGATTTTTCGTGCTAATGTTGACTTGCATGTTGGCAGTGGTTATCGGGGTAAATCTGATTAGGTACTGTTGCCCATTATTCTCACATTTTTACAACCAATGTAAACAGTATTGATTGTGGAAGCATGGCTGTCATTTGTTTCCTTTGCCTTCATGCATAGGGCACCTATTGTAAAAAGAAAAAAAAATGAATCTATAAAATCAATACATGTACAGAGTTCTAAATCATCAAACAAGTTAGTTAGCATGCATAAATATAAAAAATTATTTTATATAAACATTCATATAAACAAATAGGGAATCGATGGTGTAGATTGGCGGTTTTTTTTAATATATGCAGCACAAATGAAGAAATGAGCAAGCACAAAGTGCTGATCAAAACAAGAACTGGTTTCGCCCACATAGTTGTAAATATTTTCTTTTTCTGGAAAGAGATGAATCACTGTTAGTCAAAACAAAAATTTCCTATCATGTTACAATGACACAGTATAATTAGATAAGGAAGTGTTCAGAAAGAGTAATGGAAAACTTAAAATTGTAAAGACTTTTTTCTGTAATTGTGTGAGGTACATTGTTTTCAGTATGTTAATACGGTACATGTACTTCAATGCATTGAAGTTGGCTTGAATAGATCAAGGAAGAAGTGATGTAGTAAAAATAAGGTACCTGTACCCTGAAACAGTCGGCATTATGCGGTACATGATTAAGAAAATTTCACCTGTCTATGATATGCATGATGTGCATTAATATGCTGATTATGTAATCTAAAATGAGATACACTCATCTGGAAAATGAACTCTAAATACTGTCCTTAACTTTTATTACATGTATACACAATACAGGATATTTGATATCCCTCTTTACTCCATTCTAACACATGTAATCCTAGCTTTAAGTTTATCAACACCTGTTGTTATTACACCAGTATATTATTATCTTCCTGTTGCTGCCTTAAAAATTTCTTATAATCTTTCTATTTAGTTAACCTTAAGATTTTTTTCTTTAAATTTAAAACAGATCTAAAAATACACCTTCTGTGTTCTTTTTGGGGCTAAAAGCCAATATGAATTCGTCTCAAGAGCTTTGCCAAAAAAACATTTGTAACAACAAAATGTATATCTGTCAGATGAGAAAATTTCCAGAGTCTGCATAATGACTGATGGGCTTGCTATCCTCAAAGTGTCATACTCTGGGGTGAAAAAATGAGGAGGGGAAGTCCAAAGCCCCCCAGAAATTATCTTTCATGTGTATAGCAAACTGAACACGAAACATCAGTTTATGTGCATTTTTCGCCACCATGATTCTCACATACATGACCCAGCTTCTTGTTAATGTATCACCACCTGTGGTCAGAGGAGAGGTTTTTATATCTTTAGTAATTTTCTGTTGGGAGGTGTTTCAAGAGCCATGGTATTGGTAAGGCACTGTATATATGATTATATTTATTGATTTTGTTTTCCTCACTCTGAGATACTTATGCTGTAAGGGTCAGTGTATTGATTTTTGTAGCTAGATAAACTGTCTGGTCAGCAGTAAATAATATTCCTCTGATAAACTGTAGGTCGATCTTGCTCTCCTCCTATTGTAAACTATGTGTAGCTTATACAGAACAAGTTGACCTATAAGTGCAGTAAGTGGTTTGTACATCTGAAACAGTTTCTTGTAGTCAGTCACATGTGTATCAATGTAGATGTATACATAACTTTTATCCCCGTGTATAATACTGTGTATACAGATATAGGTACATTAATTAATGATGCTAATTAATACATGTAGATGTAATGGATATAGACAGTTGTAAAGGGACAATCAAAGAAAATGTAATTATAAACAAACATTCAGTTTTGTAGTTGAATGTTTTGAATTTCTTTCAATCTTGAGATAGGATTTTAAAATAAATATTGTTGACTGCGAAATTATATCAAATCAAATCTGACGTCTCATGAAATAAATTCCTTATTCCGCAACTACCAAACATTGAATATCCTCAATAAATACACATTTAATGTTAATAACAGGAAACAACTGAGACCTTGAAAACTACTGAACATGCAATTACATGAACATACTAGGATCTAGATCAGTTCAAAGTGCTATGAACATAATAATTGTTCCTTCAAAGTTTATAGACACATGTATGTCTGAAGATATCTCAACTTTAAAACAGGCGTATCCAAATAATCAGTTAGGAATATAAGATCTTACCTGAACAACTCGTGCACAATGCATCATTTGTTATGACACATCATGCAAAGTTGATAAGAAAAAATATTGATTGGATAAAATAAGTGTAATATTATTAAAGTAAGGATTACTTAGCTAATGCATTCATTATGAATATAATCTGGTTAACGTGATCAATCAAGTACAAAATCATTAAGATTAATGCAATTTACAAAATGTAGTCCTCAATGGGTGCATTTTTGCTGGGATTATGCATTATTGCCAAAGGTACATTTTCATGAAAGCTAAAATCATTAGGTCACATAGAACTTAATCAGATTGTGGTTGATGTAGTAAGATGGTAAGAATATCTCCCTAGGGAAAGTGTTAGGTGAAGAGGGGGGTAATTTGATCAAAGGGGGAGGATAGTGAAGGGGATGGTTGGGCTCTAAAATAAAAGATTTGCAGATTATGAACAAAAATTTTGCAACTGTTTTCAAGTAATTAACAGACAAAGCTATTGTATGGTGCTTGTTACAATTTCTTGCTGCTTACTTGATTATTAGAAGAAATTACAAGGAATTCTTTTTAATCTTCTCGTTAGTTAGTCATTACCTACAGAGAGGATTCTCACAGCACAGTAGATTAATAAATAATTGGTGTTGATTTTGGCATCTTTATATATATAGAACACCAAGCTATTTAAATTCACACAGGTATTTAATTCCCTTCACCTGAAACAGGGTATTATTTAATCTCGGAATAATTATTTGTCTCGGAATTCAAGTAAATCATCATTTCAGGTGTAGTGCCTATATGTAACCTTAGTTTTTCTCGAAATATCAGTTTCCACTGTAGTAGATGTTGACTAAGTGGGTAAGTGTGTATCTGGGTACCAAATATATTTAATTGAAATATGTTGACTAAGTGGGTAAGTGTGTATATGGGTACCAAATACATTTAATGAAATATTGCAAAGTTGTTGTTTTTAAATATTTTTTTTTCATGTTTCTGTTCTCTTTTAATTTCAAAATTTTATTTTTTTTTTTTTAAATTATTTTTTCTGCAATAGTTTGGTATTGTGCAGTGAATCTGATGTTATGCTTTAGGGGTTAGTCAGTTTCCCATGCATAGCATGGACTAACCCATTTGCGCATGCGTTACTCTCGGGGGTTAGTCAGATTTCCATGCATCGCATAGACTAACCCATCTGCGCATGCCTCAATATTTACTCGCTAATCTCTGCATTTTCCTTCGTATAAGCGGCAATATTAAGTAATCCTTGAAAACGATCCGTCTATTAATTAAGCTACAATCCCACCGTAATCGCTAAAGTTACTCCCGAGTCCGAAATATCTGTTGAACATAGTCAACAACGCTGTCGAGCTGTCCATGAATGAAGACTTAGAAATACTATCGCAGCAAAGAACAATACATACCGATTCGTATTCTCGATGCACACTGCAAACATTTACCATTATTTTTGACAATCGTGACATTTAAATCCAAAGAAATGATCAGAAATAACGCGGCGATGTAAACACTACCAACTTCCAGCAACTTCCTAATGCAGACTACCAGTGCTCCACGTCACGCTGTGAAAAATGACGTCACGGGTACATTGTTTTCCCGAACTTTTCCAATCGGCAATCCTCGGCTCCATGTGCGAGTTACGAGTCATCCGAGGAAGTCCGAGTGGAGAGCAAAATGGCGATTGAGCATTCTGCGTAATATAAGGTTTCCTGTCTTTGTTATTTATCAGACGTCCTCTAATTTTTTTGTAAAATGTTCTCCTTAAACCAGGCAATTAAATATTACAAGGGGAAAGCGAAACTGGAAAGTCTTCAGTACAAAAATCGGTCTTAGAAATTAGAAGATCTATGATCCGCCCAATGTTTCACCTCTAGTTAAGAGGTGCATATTTAGTGTGCAAATCTAGAGATTGTAAG